GTTTTTTGAACAGGAGTAGAATTTACGGCCACATCACGTTGAAACTGTGGTTCCCATAGGATCACCGAAGTTAAGCAACTTAAGAAGTTGGTGGAGGAACTTCTGAGAGGAAAGATGGAGTAATACTCAACATCTTCGGCAAGCCATTGCACTATTTTGCTTTAACTGTCATCATTAACCACAATTACAACAGAGAGGACTGGTGATTACAGCGGCGTTAACTGAGTAAATGAATAAAATTAATATGGAAAATGTAAGAAAATTATTCTCAAGAAGATATTTAAAATGCACTCACTTCATATTTTATTCTGATCCTTAATCAGTTTTAACGTCAGAATAATTCTGTAGCGTTTTCGAACTGACTTTCCTTGTATTTATTAGAAAATCATGAACCAGACCTTTATTTCTATGTTATTTAAACTGCTGGGTTCATTTTTAGCATGAAAAATTCACAAAAAAGTAAATCTAAATCGTTTAGGAAAAGGTAAGCTTTTTTTCGTGTATTTTGTATCTTCAGTGCCGTCCAGGTTTTTTGTGTTTGTGTGGGACACGTCTGCTTGTTATCAACATTTAAGAATATGATCTACATACGCAATACTACTGCACAAGCGTGTGATGTAGATATTAAAAATAATAATGAAATCTACATTTAAAAATTAAGATACATATGACGGGACATCATTTACGACTAGGAGGTATCAAAATTTTATGATGGACTGCAATAAATATTATCTCATATACGCTTATCTTATATATATATATATATATATATATATATATATATATATATATATTGTGAAATGGACAAAGTCCGACAATTATTTTAAGACATTTTTATGTTTATACATTCTTTTTTATAGATACAAATAAACAGTATTAACAACATTTCCCGGCTTGAATTTGCGAGATAATTGTCATAGAAAATATGTGTCCTCCGACAGGGAATCGAACCTGTATTCTATACGGAACCGTCATATAGCCTGACTTGCTTTTACCTAAATTTACTTAAATATTTACTTAAATATTTGCATCTATAAAAAAAGAATGTATAAACATAAAAATGTCTTAGAATAATTGTCGGACTTTGTCCATTTCATAATGTGACGTCATTTGTTTACATTTGGATATGCATCGAGCAGATATGAATGTACGAGAGAAAATCATGGAGAATTGTAGTTTAAAAACAGTAAAATTGACCTTGCTAACCGAAACGATCCTCTGTGGCTCAATCGGTAAAAACACGTCCTGAGTGCAATCTGTGCAAAGACAAAGACGCAACAGAGAGATGATAAATAGGGTGTTACAAAACACTCGAAAGAGTATTTTGTATTTACTCAACCCCCACGAGATCACGTTGTGACACAAGATCGGTTTAATGTCGGAACCCGCGCGCCTGCAACCAGGCAAAGAACAAAAATTGCCCACAGCCTCCGCAACTGTTGGTTGCGCTGGCCTCGGGGCTAGCACTGATCCCTCTCTCCAGTGCAATAAGAGGGCGCAGCCTTGGGCAGCTTTTCATCACGGAAGGCACCTCTCAGTATAATTTTCCTCAGTTGCGACTCTGTCCTTTGACAGTGTCGCTCCTGAGCGCACTCTGCCCAAAGACAGAGACGCAGCTGAGATATAATAATGTGTTACATACCACTCAAGAGAGTGATTTACACACAAGTTTTATACTCTGTCACCCCAGGACACCTCGAGGTGGTGTAATGGTTAGCAAGCTTGTCGCGCGAGAATAATTACGACTGAGTAATGAGTTCAATCCTCACTGGGTGCCCCTTACCTTCGGCCTTGTACCACATCCCTATACTCTGTCTCTCCACTAAGAGGAGTTGTGATACAAGGTCTTCTTTAAAGCGAGGGACCCGAGCGCGTACACCTGGGAAAAGAACAAAAATTGTCCGCAGCCCCCGCAACCGTCGGTTTCGCAGGCCTCGGTATGAGAACCGATCCCTCTCTCTTTTCCAATAAGAGGGGGCTCGGACTTGGGCAGCTGTTCCCCAGGGCTGAGCACCTCTCAGTATAATTTTCCTCAGTTGCGATTCCTTTGACAGAGACGCCCATCAGACCACTCTACCCAAAACTGAGATTATATATAGATGTGTTACAGCTTGCTAATGTAGTATAAATTTTAAAATGGATGTGCAATAAATATGACCTCTTAAGATTTAGCTAAAAATTTGGGAATTCGATGGAATTTAGAATGTTTAGCACATTGAAATAAGGCTTCCGGTAGAATTGCAGAGTACTCCTTCAATTCTTTTTCATTTCTTCTTTTATTTTCTTATTATAAACATTAATGTATTGCATTTTCTCAGATCACATTCAGGATGCTTTATTAGTTTTGAGTTTTTGTAGATCACCTTCGGCATTTAGACAACACGCTGAAGTGACATCGGGTTTTTTTTATTAAAAAAGTGAAAGGTTTTTTCGACTTACTCCTCTAAAAAAACTAATATGAATACAGTACAATAATCGAACTGAAAACTCGTTCAGGATCTCAAAAACCACCAAATATCCTCTTGGATCTGTTCTGTAATCGAATTAAATATTAATAAGACATAATAAAGGAAGTGTTGGTGATCTAACGACTAGGCAGTGGGAAAATGAAATTGGCAAACCTAATTCAAACCCCGGCTTAGATAGTTTATTTTCTCTCCGCAGCAATACGTTTGGGAAAGGTAAGAATCTGTTTCCCCTCCTTAGCACTTGATTAAATAGCAGAGCAAACCGTGATTTTAATAACAATCAGCCTAGGAAATGATCAATTCTGAATTCAGGACGTAAACAATCAAAAAAAAAACGTCAATATTTCTCCTGAGTATATATCAATGCATTGTTTATGGGTATTTCTGTTACGTATCTTCAGGATGTGGGCAATCATGGCTCTTCACAACTTCTTAACTTTTGTAGCTTTAAACAATAATAATTCGGTTCCCGTCACTTCGCTGGACGCAAGTTGGTAAGATTTCAAATTTAAATTGTTTGTCCATCTAAAATACCATATTTATTAAGAAATATATTCAATTTAAAACGAATTAACGAAGTGTTGTTGCCAGACAGAAGGTGAAATTAACATTCGTGTCAGATATGTCCATTTCACTTTCATTAAAATTTTGTTTGTATGTGCGTTTGAATGGCTTTATGTTTATTTTCATTTGATCACAACTTTAAAACTTTGATATATATATTTTTTTAATTTTAAAACATAATTTTATTTATTACCGAATAATCCCCGAAATGCATATCTAAAATTCTGTGATTTTGGTTATTCCGTCCTCCCACCCTCTAAAATCGCCACACATTGACCGATCGAAACCAAAAGTTGGGGAGAGGTACAAACAAATAAGAGTTTACAAAGTAAAACTGGTTTGACTAAGATGCGTTTTTTAGTACAATAAATTGTATTTTTTGAAAGAATTCAAAGTGTTACAAAATACTCAGACTATTTTAAAAAGAATTTAATCTTTAAAATAAAAAAATAGGTATTTAATAAAATGCAATATTGTTTTTTGCATATCTTTCCTTTAAACATTTATATACAAGAATCCAGTTTCCATTTGGCTCTTGAAAGAAACATTTATGCATAACGAGTTGTATGTTGTATACTCAAGAGTAAGAATAAGAAGTAATAATGATAATTCTAAGAATTTATTTTTTGCTGTGAAAATGAAAAAAGGTGAAAAAGAAATTTTCTTAAGAAATATTGTTTATTATGAATTTCAAAAAAATTAAATGAAATTAAAGAAATTTTTAAAGCATAAAGTATTGTTATTGTCAAAGTATTTTTCCTAGCAAATCAGCTCATTGAAATTTTATTGAAATTTTATGCCTATCTGATTCTTTTTTTTATGTGGTGATGGTTAAAAGATTATTTTTTTCTTCTTTCTTCTCGTCAACTTTGTTGCTCAGCCTAGGGTACGCTTTCTTCACATTTCAGGGAAGTGTTATTCAAATGTCATATTTCAAAACTCATATTGTGTGAATTTGGGTTCCTGCACACTAAATAGCACCAGGGCCTGTAAGTTACTCCGACAGAAAAAAAAAACCCCACGAGGCATATGCATCGTATAAGAATATTTAAAGTATCACGCAGATCATGTATGACGTAGAGAGAATGGAGCTCATCTTACTTATTATAAAACGCAGATTGTGTGTGTGTGTGTGTGTGTGTGTGTGTGTGTGTGTGTGTGTGTGTGTGTCTGTACGTTTATATATTGGATCGAATTTCCCACATTTTTCAACCGATTTCAACAAAACTTCACAGGACTACGTAAAATTACATTGCGGTGGTTCTGACAGCGCCAAAAATTGGAAAAACACAATTGTTTTTGCACAAAATCAATCTGAAAACACAATTAAGAGGCATCACAAGAATGAAAGGGGGACAACTCATATCGAGTTATACTTATTATAAAATCCAGGTTGTTTTGTTTTTTTTTTTTGTGTGTGTGTGTGTGTGTGTGTGTGTGTGTGTGTGTGTGTGTGTGTGTGTGTGTGTGTGTGTTCGTTTATATATGGGATCGGATTTCCTACATTTTTCAACCGATTTCAACAAAACAACACTTTTTTTTTAGCAGGTAGTGTTTCTTATTCTCTTGCAGACTTTTTTCTTTATTTTTACATTCAGAATGCTTTAAAAATTCCATTTACAAGACAATTGTTTATAATAAAATTCTATTAAATCGGTAGACTCATAACGATTGAAAACAATGTTTTCGTTTGAGTTTGACCAAAAAAAAAAAAAAAAAAACTATTTAAGACATGCGTGTCCGTCAACCGTAAACAATAATCTTTGTCAATTTTATTTTTCAGTCTTTATGATGGTCGATACTTGATCTATCTCCTACTGTTACATCCCCGGGCAACGCCGGGCTCTACTGCTAGTCTTTTATAATATAGATTTACCCCTTACTATCACTCCCAGTCTCTTGTCTGTATTGCCCGTTGGACAGATTATTCGATGTTTCATATCTGTTTATGACTTACGAATACAACACGTTGAAACACCGGTTGCCGTACGATCACCGAAGTTGAGCAGCGTCGAACGTGGTCAGTACCACGATGAGTGACATCTTGGGAATACCAGGTGCTGTAAGCTTAAATGTGATGGATAATGGCTCAGAATTGTTAATCAGAGTGCTTAGTTCCATTTCCCGTTGGGCTCTTTGTATTCAGTTACACGCAAATATCCCTGTAAGAATCCAACCTCTTGACACCACCAGCTATGGGTTAATTAGTAAGACTTGTATGACTAAATAATTCATTATTTTTAAAAAATCGGACTTTAAATAACGTGTACTGGTTTGAAACGCCGTAGAAAACGAATCAATCAAGCATTTCTGTCTCTCCTGTCTTCAATATGTCCCGTGAATACATAATCAAATTAGAAATTGTCTCTTTCTGATTTTAAGTATAATTTTTCATGGGTCCTTACCTATAACTACAGAATGAACTCTTCCTAACACTAAGTATACTACGCCTCTCAAGAGAGAGGGACGAATCAAGCCGAGCTTCTCGGCTTGACGGTCGAACTCTCTGCCTTTGCGCAGAGAGGAACCCGGACGAGGCTCCGCCGAAGGGCAGTCTCGTTCGGGGAAGTTGACCAACCCGATCCCGTTTATACGGGTTCGGGCAGTTTTGGCCGAGTTTTTGGCTCGACCTTGTGCCACATGCAAACCTCGTGGCGGGGGTGGCTAGATACCGAATCGAGTCGAGCCGATAGTTTCTCACTCCAAACCAGACTGACAGTCATACTAACACCTTCCACATCTTGTATTATTATTTCGTGTAACATACTTTCGTTATTTCTACTCTTGTGTTCGTGTTGTTCTTCCTTGGTCCTAACCTGGACCATAAAAATAATATAAGTGTTTTTCTTTTTTTTTATTTCCATTTTTGTTAAAACTTCCTCGAGTTTCCGGTTTTTTTGTGAGACAAGTATTTACTTCTTTATAGGATGATTGATATTATTTACAAGTATTTACTTCTTTATAGGATGATTGATATTATATAGCAGTTCAGCATTCTTTTCTTTGTTTTTAACGGTATTTTCCAGATTCTTAGTACATAGCTTTTAGGATCCACCTTTCACGATTCCAATGCGCCTACGGAATCGGTGCCACATTTTTTATCATCTGTTAAAACATTTTCACCTGCTTCATTTTTAAATCTTCAATTCATAGCCCGACGCCCGTGCTGTCCACCTTGCATTCTGTTGCCTTACAATTAGTTATTCCTTTTTTCTCGCTTTCCATTATTGCCTTTTCTAAGAATTTCCGGAGTTTTCTTATTCTAAGCGCAATTTTCCTTAAAACATCCTTGTCCTTCATATGGTATTTTCAGCACCCCCTTGCAGAACGACATCAAGTCTCTTTTCATCTATGAGTGGATTGTCCAGCATTCTCTGCTGTGTGGAGATTGTTCAAAAACAAAGAACTGAAGCAGACATCATTGCTTAAAACAGCGTTTCTCAACCATTTTACCCTTGTGTATCCTTCGAAATAGTTTTCCTGTCTCAGGGAATCCCTTAATTAAAATTAAAAAGACATTCATTATATCTATCTCTTTTATGTTATTATAGTAGTTCACGGGGTAAGTCTAATATTTTTTCTGATAAAGGGTTTCAGAGAAAAATGACCCCCTTTTTTGTTAAATTTATTGGCAATACAAAACAAAATTATATTTCTCCTTTATGAGAGGTTTTTATTTAAAAACAAATCTGTAAGCACACAGAACAAATAAAAATGAATAACCATTATCACTATAATTTATTATAATAACCAAGGATTTTCCAGCAATATACCGTACGTCTATAATAAAATTATGAATATAAAATAAAATAAAAATTACTCAAAAATACATTAGCCTATTTTTCAATGTTTTTAGCAGAACCCGACAGCAGACTCTTAGAATACACTAGGGTCTTGGAGAACACTGGTTGAGAAACACTGCTTTAAAATAGCTGATTAGTCTCTTAGAAGATAAAGTACAATTACTTCATTTCCCTTACTGCATTTTATTGAATGTTTTTATTTTACAAATAATAATTCTCTGTAATACAGGCCGTATTATACGTTCCTTGTTGAAGCCATTGAGTAAATACACAGTATTACGCCAGTAAATTGTATATTCCATATATTATAATTTAAAATGTAATCACATGGGACACACAACGCCACGCTGTCGTTGCTGTTCATTGACTCTCAAGAGCCGGAGGTTGGACAAAGTTCACAGCAATGCGATGCATGTTAAGGTTTTCCGTAAAGAACTCCTGGCTGCCTACTCAAGAAAGCAAATAGATTTTTCACCAACATGGACATAATAACAAATTTTATTCATATTTTTTGTTGTTTGTGCTGATGGTCTGTGACCCTGAAGGTATGTTCAGATATTCGCCAAAAAGCTAAAGGAAGTATTTCGAAGGTGTTGGTAGCAGTTTTGTCCTCATTCACGCCATATTTGATAACGGTACACTACAGATCGCAAAGCCGTTACAACACAACAGAATCTCACCTAGTAAGTGAGGACTAGTCGATATCTAATTGGTAGACTGACTCAACAGACTTGGTACGAATGAACATTTATACATTGCATATATCCGTTGAATGAGATAAAGATGGTACCTACTATACAGTAAATTACCGCTAACACCTGGCATATAAGTAAAAGAATTATAAAAAAAATTCTAAAATATAGCTGAAGAGGAAAATAGTACGAAGCCTACTGACTCAGTAGACTTGGTACCAATGAGTGCGATCTGTGCAAACATTTTCATTGAATGGTGAAGTCACTTTCTAGGAACTTTCTGACACCTCCACGTATATTTACGTAGGTGAAAGAATTGTCAGGAAAAAAAACTTGAGCAATAATTGAACACGAACAAATATCACGAAGCTTATTGGTAGACTGACTCAGTAGGCTGGGTACTAATGAAAGTTTGATGCTCGAACATTTCCGCTAAAAAACTGGGCCAAAGTACGTAAAAGGAGTACAGAAAATTACACAAGGAAATAAGGACCAACTACAGGCAAGCTAAAGAAGAATGGCTAAACGAAAAATGTGCAGAAATAGAAAGACTGAGGACTACCAACAAAAGAGCCATGCACAAAAAAATAAGACAATTAACAGGAGAGAAGACATTCTGGTCAACAGGCTGACTAAAATCAAATGGAAACTTTCGTGTTAGCGAAGGAAAAAAATTCTTCAACACTGGAGCGAATATATTGGAGCGAATATATTGGAGAACTCTTCCACGAAGAAAGGAAAAAACCAGCAATACTCAGAACTACCGACGGATCTGGAATTCTGAAAATCTAAGTAAAAGCCGCACTGGCCAAATTGAACAGAAAGAAGGCAGCCGTGCCAGACGGAATTGTAACGGAAATGATGACAGCTTTAGATGACTTTAGTATAGACAAGGTCAACGAAATAACAAATGAAATCTACAACAACGAATGTATACCTGAAGACCTCATCAGATATATCTTCATAGCTATGCCTAAGAAACCAGGCACAAACGAATGCTAACCCTACCGATTAATAAGCCTGATAAGCCGCGTGACAAAACTCATCATCCGTATTCTGTTGAAGCGCGCGCAGCAGAATGAGACCAGAGATTGAACAAGAACAGCGCGGGTTCGTTAAAGACTTCGGAACAAGTAACCCGATATTTATGCTCAGAATGTTATCAAAAAAGCGATACTAATGCAGAAGGGCATGCACCTATGTGTTATAGACTACGCAAAGGCCTTCGACAAAGTACGCCACAAGGATCTGATGGAACTGCTCAACCACCTTGATTTATTCGGGAGGGATATCAGAATAATCAAAAGCCATACTGGCAGCAAACAGCATGCATACGGACAGGTAACGATTTCAGTGAATATACAAAAATATATTAGCGGAATAAGTAAAGGATGCGTCTTCTCACATGACCTGTTCAACCTATACAGCGAGAAATTCTGATAGAATTGGAAACCCTACCGGGATTTAGCATTGGCGCCCACAATCTTAACAACATAAGATACGTAGACGAGACAGTACTGATAGCAGACACGGAAGAGAAATTACAAAATCCACTACAGAAGGTAGAGACGGAGAGTGAGAAGAAGGGACTAAGCATAAACTACAAGAAGACAGAATGCATGATCATCAATAAGAGGAAGACCCCGAAATGCGATTTGCAGACCGGAAACACTAGAATCAAGCAGACGCAGAAGTTTAAATATCCGGGAAGCGTCTTGACAAAGAACGGTAAGTGCGACACTGAGATCCGTAGACGTATTGGAATGGCCAATGACACATTCCAAAAGGTGAGCAAAGTACTGCGAGACAGCAGGATTTCTTTGGTAACAAAAACGAATACTGAGCTGTTACGTGACATCTGTTCTTCTTTAACGGCAGCGAATATTGGGCGATTTCCTCAAAGATGTAGAAGAGACTCGAGGCAACGGAGATGTGGTTCTACAGAAGGATGCTAAGGATATCATGGACCGAGTCTGTGAGAAAAGATGAGGTCTTAGAGAGATTAAAAACAAGGAGAATAAGGCTTATACTTACCATCAGAAAGAGGCAGCTGAAGTTTCAGGGACACATAATGTGGAAGGAAGGCCAGGAAAATCTGATACTCACGGGTCAAATAGAGGGAAAGAGAGACAAGGGAAAGCAGCGCGTGACATACCTGATGAGCTTGAGCAGATGGATGACAGAACGTAATCTGGGAGAGAAAGCAGAGGGAAGGAGCTTGCTAAGAGCTGCAAGGGATAGAAAAAGGTGGAGAGCCATGATCGCTTACGTCCTGAAAGGACATGACACATAAATAGAAAGTAAAATCATTGCACATACAGCCCACAAACTTTTCCGATATCCCCTGATATATATATATTTTTAATTCATAGAAGTTATACTAATTAAGAATTGAGCGGCAAATACAACGGTAAATATTTTCTGTGCAATTTAAAATGTTTCTATCATTAATTTTATGACCATTCAAATTCTTTTAAGTTTTACATTTGAACATGTATATTTATAGTTGTTTTAACAAACAACATTCTTCAAATTTATGCCAAAGTCAGCGAACATCTGCGTATGTCACTTT